GCGCTGGGCTCCTCCAGCCCCACTTCCCTCCGATCCGCCTCTTCCCCGCATGCATTGCACGAATTCAACTCCGCACGACAGATTTTCGCCATGTCGTTGAATGGGAACAGGAGAGTGGCCTTGAGGGCCAGGAGCGGCATCTGCAGCCGCACCACGAGTGGCCCAGCGGCGCTGGGCAGCAAAACTGCCAGGCAGAGCAGCTAGGCCAGCCGTCCGCCCCCAAGCGTGGCCCCGCACGGCTCCATCCTGATCTCCGTTCTCCTTGCCAAGACCCTCAGGCAGACCAGGCTGTTGAACGACCAGCACATTATCAAGTAGGGCCAACACTCCCTGGGCATCGAGTACCTCAGCCAGGAGCTGGCCATCAGGCGCTTGAGCCTCCGGCCCCCCCCCTCAGCTACACGTAGATCGCCTCAGTGCCACATGCCACCGCCAGTCGAGCCCACACGTACCGATCGTCGCGATTCTTGAAGGACTCCACTGCGAGGCCGGTTTGCAGCAGCAGCAGCACGGGCAGGGTCTGCCAGTGCTTGAGCGCCTTGTCCAGTTCGAATTCTTGCTCCAGCTGATCGTCGCGGAGCTCCAGGCCCGCGATTTGCCACGGGGACAGGGGCATGGGGGCGGGGGTCCAAGGAGGGACGTGGGTGGTTGGGTGGGTGGGTGCTGGGGGTGGGGAGTGGAGAAGCGAGCAATGTGTCCATCGCAATAAGCCACCTGCATTTGTTAACATTGGACAGGTTGAATGGTTGGAATAATTAAGTGAAGACGTTCGTCAATGACTATTTACTATGCAATTGAATGTTAATTATAAGGTGTGTAATCTTCTGTTGTTCAATGACCTATTTTTCGTTGAATCTGTGGCCGGGGTTGAGTCGCTATGAAACGGCGAGCCGCGTTTGCCAACATTGGACGAGTTGAAGCTGAATGATTGGAATAACTGGAATAATTTAACGTTCGTAAGTAACCATTAATTGTGCAGTTGAACGTTGATTTAAAAGTGAGCAGATGTTTATTCTTGAATGGCTTAGTTTCCGTTGAAATTGTGGCAGCGGGGGCCGGGGGTTCAATCCAGGGGAGCAACCGGTGCTTGGAAACATTGGACCAGTTGAATGAACTGATACAACATAGCAATGGCGAATAAATTAGGTTACAGTATGCAACCAGGATTCGCTTCCTTTCAGTCATCCTCAATCATTGCTGTCAATCCTCCTCAACCAATCCTTTCAATCATTCGTCAAAATCATCCCTGCCAATCATCCTTCTCAATCATTCCTCTCAAGCACCCATATCCCCAGCCACAGCTCCCCCTTGACCTCAAGCATCCTTCGAATCAACCCACTAAACCATTCTTCTCGTTCACCGCAGGCCGGGATTCCCAGTCTACCTTTTAGGAAGCAGTGGTGCAGTCAACTAGCATGGAGTTGTGAGCTGTGCACCACTCCAAGAGAAGCTGAGGAGTCCTCCCCAGTCACCCACCAAACATTCGCCCCCAGCAAACATCCCATCATCAGCCATTATGACCACTGCCACTCCCACCTGCCAGTGGTTTCCTCTCAGCACTCACATCACCAGCTTCAGCACACAGCCCATGGCCACTACCGCTCCCACTTGCCATGAATCGCCCCTGAGCAATTGCACCCCCAGCTGCAGAAGACAGGCCCCCTGTGCTGCCGCTCCCACTTCCAGGAGCTAACTCCCGTATGCTCAAGTCCTCTATCGATGGCCATGTTGCTGTTGAAATCGCTAAACCTTGCCCACTCCCTTGTGTAATGTACGTGGCAGGCAGCAGACGCCTCAGAGTCTTGTCGAGGCCATGCTTGATCTCCAACAGCTCACACCTCCACTCCTCACTTTTGAGGGTATCAGGCATGCGAACTTCATGTGTGCCTCGCCTGCCCTTCCTACGTAGCGCTTCCACCACCACATCGGCCATCTGTCCACAGTGGCTGACAATCTCCTGCCAGTTGTCGTTGGCCCTGTCCCCGTTGATGAGAGCGCGCTTTACTGCAGCCTTGTACGGGTGGCGCAAATCCTCGATGGCCACACGGAGCGTCGCCTGCTCCCCGTGGACACAGCGGTTGGCCACAAATGCGCCAGCAATATACTTCCAGATCATGTCCTTGAGATCAAGGATGTGAGTTCCAAGCAGTGCTTCCACAAAATCGTGCAGCTCGATGGTTGAGCATGCCATAAACGTGACATCCTCCCAACGCAGGTGCCCATTTCGCCTCAGGCTGGAGCGTTTTGGTGGCAGTTTCGCAAACACTTGGTCAAAATCTTCCTGTTCGAACCATGTCAACTCTCCCGTTGGAAACCATTCCTGCAGCAGCAGGCCGGGGGTCTTCAAATGCCCAAATGCTGGCCGGCGCAACTCAGATGAAGATACATCTCCCTCGCAGGGCCCCGCGAGCAGGTTTACCCAATCCAACTTGTCGGGGGCAAATCCCTGCACCACCACCACGCCAACATGGGCCACTAGCCCGAGCTGCAGCACATGCGCCAGCTTCCCTCGCCTCTCATTCGGACACGCTTGACCCATCAGGTTTTCGTACAGCCATAAACCCCGAGTCAAGCCGTTCGCATCCGCCTTTCGGCCCATGAATCTAACCCAGAAGTCGGTCAGCGGGGTCAAACTCCAGTTCCAAGAGCATCCCGAGCATTTTGACCATCTTTGCTCCATGGTTGACCGCTTCTGCTCCTTGATTGACAGCCCACTGGACACCAAGATGCGCAACTGATACCTGACTATGTCCAAGGCCAGCTCGCAGCGCCGCCCATCATAAAATGGCGCAAGCCCTTGGCCGGTAAACAGCTTCGCACATACGGGTTCCCTCAAAATGATGCCTTGCACGAGCTCTTTCCTGGCCCTGAGCATCCGCCCCCATTGCAGCCATGCAGCGTTCAAGCTCACGCCACAGACCCCCTGACAAGGTTCCCAGCTGTCGAAGAATTGGCTCGAAATTCCTGGGTTCCAACACACCTTTTCCTTCACCTTTTCCTCCCCTTGACCTGGGCACCCATCACCAAAATATGGACTCGAATTTCCTGGGCTCCGATACCCATTTTCCTTATCCCTTTCCGCATCACAACCCAGACTCGGCATGCCGCTCAGCGCCCTGCCGAGGTCAGTGCTGGCAGACAGCGCCCACCACTGCCGCAGCAGCTTGGCAATCGGCCAACTGGCCGCGATCAGCACCACAGATGCCGCCATTGCCTCCTTCCAATCTTCGGCGAAAAACTGAACCAGAGCGTAGGCGCTCAGCTGGTAGACCGCCACGCAGCACACGCCGATCGCCAGCGCCGTCTGCCGTCGAAATCCATGGATGCACGACCACCGCTGGTCAACGTGGTCGACTGCGGCGTTGACCGCCCATGGGAGGAATGCGAAGATGTACGAGGCCGCCACGAACCAGCCTGCGTCGGCCAGGCGACCCCCGCCGTCTTCCTCCGCGGAGTCCATCGGGGATTTGGGCGGGAGGCCGTCGACCGAGTCAACGAGGAGCGTTGACGGGGCCGAGAATTGTGGCAGTTGACCGGGTCAACGAGTGGCGTTGACTGGGCCGAGAAAAGGGGGCGATGGTCGGGACAGTCGGTGAGTGAGATTCACGGCGGCGGGGTGTGTGTGTTAGAAAGGATGGACGCGTCTTTGCGGGAGGGACAGCTTTCCGCAGAGAGGCGGTCGGCGAGCGAAAACAACAAAGACAGCAACATGAGCAGCGGCAGATACAAAAGCAAAAGCACCAGGTTGTAGGATCGGACAAAGGGTTGTAGGATCGCAAAGGGCGAAAAAAGGCAACTGGGGTTGTACCGCTCGGCGCTCAACGGGACCCGACGGCCTACGCGGAGATCCCGGCCCCGCAGTAGCGGTCCCAGGGGGACGCACGGCTCCAGATCGAGGCAAGGGCGGCATGAAAAATGTGCGCGACAAGGCACCCAGGCGGGCGCGCAACGCCGGAGGGTCAGCAGGCAGCGGCCAGCGGTCAAGGGCCAGCGGTCAAGAGTCAGAGGCCAACGGTCAGGAAGGGAAGGCGTTGGTGGGCGGCCGACGCTCGCTGCGCCAAAGGGCGCACACGTGGTGGGGGGGCCAGCAGCGCCGTACCTCCGAGGTTTTTTTGGGTGCGCGTGTTTTTTATTTCTGTTGTCATCAGCAGTGCGCAACCCCGAAACCACCTAAGTACTGAATATACAATCTCACAGCGAGGGGTTGGCTGTGGTGCCGGACAACCCGTGCACGACTATGACCGGGCATGCAAAATTCAGGGCGTGCACTACTTGTGGGTTGCCGTTGCAGTCGCACCCTGTGACCTTCTTGTAATGACTCACACCTCTTGCAACGGCGCAGAACTCTCGTCACACCCCCCTTGTAAAGCCACCACCTTGCACCCGGCTGCCCTGTTTTCTCACACCCTCTTACCATGCTCCCAGTGCAATGCGCATCCGGGCCGGGGAGGTGTAGCGCGCCAATCCCGTGCTGTACTGTAGCAAGGCCACCGAATCCGGCGAAATCCTGCCAGTACTTTATTTCCGTTCTTCCGTTTTGCGACAAGCCGCGCTCGTCATCCAGCCCCTGCTTTGTCCCCGGTCTCTTGTGAACCACCAAAGCCATGTCGTAATCCCGCCAGTACTTTATTCCAGTCCTGCCCTGATGTGACAAGTGGCCGCCCGCAACCCGGCTGCGGATTTGACAGGCCGCGGCCCCCGCTGCCTTCACTGAAGCTGTATTGCGCATGCGACCCACCAACAGAAGCCCCCAACCCCCGCAGCCCGCCTATAAGAGTCAACCAGGTCAAAGTGCGGTCAATAGGGTCAACGTTCGGCAACAAAGTTAGCAGACAAGAAACAAGCGACAGTCCGGGGCGCGCCCAGCCCCAAGTGAACCGCCTCCACTCTCGCCGCCCGTGGACCTTTCCCGTGTCGGGGCCCGTTGACGCAGCGTTGACCAGCCGTCGACCAAAAGCTCAGGAACCATAGCGGCGGCTCGCGGTGCGGGGGGGATTGCGATGGGGTCGGCGAGCGACATGGGATCGCGGCGGGTGATGGAGGACGCCGGCGCGATCGTCCGCGACCTCATGGACTTACCGCTGGCTTCCCGTCCGGGTCGATGGATAGTCCCCGATGCCTTGACCCCGTCGTTGGCCCCGCTGTTGGACGATGCCAGATTCGGGCAGGGGCGATCGGAGTTCGCATCCGCGCCAGGATCTGATCGCGGTGCGGGAAGTGGGGATGCTGGATCGACAGGATCGACAGGATCGACAAGGTCGACATCTTCAAGGGTTGAAAAGTTCGCGTGCCATTTCGTGGGTGTCTTCGATGGCCACGGGGGGCCGGAGGTGGCGAGGCAGGCGGCCGCCAGCCTGCCCCTGCACGTGAGGAGGGCGTTTGAACAGGTAGCTTTCGCCGCCTGAAAGGGGTTGGCCGCACTCAGCGAGCAGTTTTCCCAACGCGCTCGCAACGGCGATACCGCCAGAAGGTGACTGATCGCTTCTGGTACCTTCCTTGTCGCGGTCCGAACCTGACGAATGGTTGACGGGGTTCCGTCGGGAGTACAGTAGGGGTCCCCATACAGCGCCCCCCAACAGCGCCACCGGCCCCTAGGACGCCCTGTTTGGCTTGTCGCGATTTTTGTAGTACTTTACTACGCAGCTTCGCTGCGCAGTGGGACCTCAAACTAGTATTGTGGACACCCAAGAGAGGCGTCCAGTGCCGACATTTCTGCGAACTAGGCATATCGCAGATGGGCAGACGGTATGGGCCAGCGGCGGTGGGCGGCGTCTGCTGCTGGGCTGCTGACCGGCGTTGACCATGGAATGGGCACTTGCGGCACTACACAGATTCGTCTTAACCGGCGTGTGTGGGTGGTGCAAGGTGGGCAAGGTGGTGTTTTGCGGCATCGCCTCACGGTGGGGGCCTGGGCGGCGGCCCACAATTTGCTTGGATGGTGGCCGCTGCGCCTCAGCTGTTGAGTTAACGTTGGGGGAGTGCTGGATAACGCAGGGGTACTCTATACGTAACGCCAACCGCATCACAGATATTTGCAGAAATGCCCAACGCGGGGGGGGCATTATCCCCCATTCTCTACTGTATGGCGCGCCCATGCCCAGTTGGGTGCAATCTGCCTTCACAATGCGACCAATGCCGTGCAAGTCCATGTGATGATTTGTTACAGGCACTGTGTAACATCAATGCAAGCCCCAAACACGGTGTTCCACTACTGCAGCACGATGGCACATGGTGCACATGCACGATAGGTCAATTTGGCATCTCAACAGGCCACAACACGGCTAATGGGGTTATTTTGCGTCTTCTGATGACGGGGAGTGTTATCTTATGACTAAACTACATTTAAATGCATTAAACAAATGAAGCTATAGGTGCGCTATATTAGGTACCCCCTATTGTACTCAATCCAAATCGCATGAATGCAAGTGTAGATAAGTACAGTAACGACTACTATGCTCACTGTAGCTTTTAGTGCCTTCCTTGTCAGAGCTCTGAGCCCGACGAGTTCTGGAGGAGTCTCTGTGTGAAATGTTTGGTTCGAGTCACGTAAGTATATGTACAGTGATCAGTACTGCACTTACTGGTACGATTCGTATAAGCATCGATAAGCATAAGCATTGAAACACAAGCTTTTCTGCCATTCAGCTTGATCCCAACGCATTCTGCTGCATTCCCTTCCTGCAGCGGATGCCCGAACTTGGGCATCAGAGAGTTCAAACGGCGCGGCTGCTCTTCGGCAACAGTTGGAGACAGATTGGCGTGTTTGCGGCTGCAATATCCAAATATTTGTGTGTGCCTGCATGCATGATCCCAGTGCACTCTGTGTTTGATTTTCCTACAGCGGCTGTCCAAACGGCGTGGCGGCTTATTGGCGCCGGTTTCTGAAGAGTCGGTGGCTCTTGGGCTGGAGGCGGTGGCGGACATAGTGCGACTGGCGTTTCAAACGATGGACGAGGAGCTGTTGGGGAAGGAAGAGTGCAAGAGGTCCGCGGCGGAATGCGTGGGGTCAACGGCGGTCGTCGCTCTAATCAGCAGGTCAATGTTGTGCGTGGCCAACTGCGGGGACTCGAGGGCTGTGCTGTCGAGGGGCGGGGTTTCGTACAGGCTCACGCGGGACCACAAACCGGACTTAGAGGATGAGCAGGTTGGAACTTTTGTTTTGTGAGATTATGCAACATAGGTGTGCTCGTATTGTGCATGGAAATTCACACGGTGTGGCGCAATGATGATGTTGTATGAAATGGTTGTTGCTTAGAGCGCGTCTCGGCTGTATCAATTGGGGAATGAAGATGTTGGGGACAATCACTAATGACAGCTCACAGGGTCTTCCATTATCATGCCCCTCAATCGCGACCCCAAACTCACTCGATGTGTAAATTGTGACTTTTGAATTTCGCAGACTTGCTGTCAATTAACTCCTACAATTATGAAACTTGACTTTTATTCAATTATCCCCCCTTTAAACATTCCGAAGCAATGCGGAAATTGATATCTCTTAAATTCCCATGTAGATGCCACGGGCGTGAGGGAGCTGATGAGCAACAACGAGCGAACTAGCAGATCGCTTTTCAGCTGCAAACTGAACCAATGCGTTGTGCATGAAGTCAACACGAATTATGCAAGAAAGCGCCTCTTGTCGTAGTGCACAGCTCAGGAATGATGCTCATCTGTCCATAGGTAAACGAGTGATTCAAATGAGTTGAAGTGTGTGTCAGATGTAAGGTTATGTGTGCCCAGCTGTGCGGATGACGGTTTAGGGATAGTCCAAATTTTGTAGTCTGGCAAATGCATACATTCCACTGCATTGAGTGTGTTAATTAGTACAATCGCCGCAACTATATTTTTCACATATTGGTGCCAAAATTGTCGCATATTTGCACATCTCCTTAATTATATTTTAGACGACTCATAGCTTCGTCTACAAACCTACTACGTAACGAGTGTCCAGTGCACCTTTGTTGCGAAATTTTCCAAATGAATCTCGTCTCATTTCGAATTTTCGCTGACGTGTTTCCTCAGCTGAGCTCATCCTCTGCTGTGGTGCCGCACACCAACCGAACGCGGAGGGACCTACCCTGACCGCCAAGGTGGGCTAGGTGGCACGCAGGTGCGGCCCTTGGCTGTGCATTGCCTCGGAAATTTAGTGGTGCGCATCTGGAAGCAATGAAACGCTCCATATGATATACTCTGCGCCGGCAAATGCACGCTGCAGGGCAATGTCTAGGTTTGCGCCATGTAATAATATTCATTACAGCAATAGTTCATTACTGGGCCAAAAAATGTTCCGAGTTGCCTGTAAGGGGAATGGCTTCGTCCCCCCCTTACCTCGTGGGCATGACGCATTGGTATTCGCTTAGCTGCATACTCAGTCTGATTATTGCAACTTTGCCACAATTAGGACGTTGCGAACATGCCTGACACATGGTAATTGCTGTATATTGGCTCAGTTGAAGCATTGCTCTCATTGCTCTCAAAACTTTCTGGCATGGTAGCAGAGCCTAATTGTGTGCAAACCCATGTGTAATGGCCATTTTTAAGCCAGAAATTCGACATAATTTAATTTTTGTATGTCGAAGTACAGCAGAATGCTTAGCTTGTACCACATTTGCCTAAAAGGCATATATATTAATTGTAAGGCATACTTACATTTCGTATAGAAAAGAACTATTGCCCTCTTACCACGGCTGCGTCAAATTGCCCCGACTGCTCATTGAGCGCCGCTGACCGGCGCGACCGGTATGCAGCCGATGGGGGCCAGTTGCATATATTTAATACAAATTAAACATCTCTGAATAATATTTAAATGCATAACTATAGCATGTGCATGAACTGCCACACGGCTAATCGTATTGCGTTGTAGCATTGACAGCTTCGTCGCCTTTCTCGTCTCAACTTTCTCGTCTTCATTCAGGAGAGGATACGGAGCTGCGGAGGGGAGGTCCTGGACTTCAACGGTCCGCGCGTCATGGGTCAGTTGGCCATGTCGCGTGCCCTCGGCGACCGCCGCCTCAAAGACAAGGGTGTGATTGCGGATCCCGAGGTGAGTCGAAGAATGTCGCTTTGAGCTGACCACACGTGCTGTGTTATTGAACGTGATGTTTCAAGTGAAGCCGTGAAGATTTGCCAAGTTTCGAGAGGTAAATTATCAATGTCAATGACGAAAAGCGGGGGCGCTTTTTCTGGCATTGGCGATTCGATTGGAGGCATTTTGAATTGAATTGCTTGGGGTAGGACAAATGATTACCTGCTTGGCTGTTTGACTTTTTTTGTCACATCATGTGTTGCAACGATTTGCAAGCCACGCTAGCCTCGCATTCGGAGTTCTATGTGTTTTGCACATTCTGCATTATTTCATATTCAATGAGTTAATTTAATATAATGAACTTAATATAATCTAATGTACAAATCATGTTCAGGACACAATACGCAGCGTTTTCAAATACCAAATCCGATTTTACAAGAGACGGCAAAACTAATGGCATTCACCTCTGATTCACTCAGGTCACCGTCATCGGCCGCCACCCGCGGGACGAGTTTCTGGTGCTGGCCAGCGACGGCCTGTGGGAAGTGATGTCGGACGAAGAGGCCAGTACATTGGCCCGCAGGTGCCTCAAGCGGTCAAAAGAGCGGGAAACAGATGCAGAAACGGCGACGAGGGCGACGGCACGTGTCCTAATTAGGACAGCTCTGGACAAGGGGTGCAGGGACAACATCACCGTAACTATCATTGACTTGAGCTGAGGCAGGTGGCCCTCGGATCTGACCCAACACGGCTCGATCTGATTTGACCAGGCCCTGTTCTGTTCGATTTCAAAGTCGATTGATTTGATTGATTTGATTTGATTTGATGCGATGGAATATCGGTCGAAGGTAGATATGGGAATCAAGGTTGATGTTGTGGGCGTTTTGGGGAACGACAAATTGTACATATAAGGTGCATCTATAGATATGTATACAGCAGGATACATAGATGAGAAAAGAAAAGAATATGCTTCTTTGCATGCTCAGTGCACAGCCAGATTGGAGCTTTGGGATTGACGGGACTGGATAAGCGTGAATGCAGTTGAGCTTCTTAGTGTATTATTTTTGGGCGTTGATGGGAATATGCAAATGAAGTCGTGTGACACTCAGTTCGTTTATTTCATCCGTTACCACCTGACCGGTCTCCTGAACCCACCCGCTCATGTTCCCCACACGATAAAACATTTGCAAACGTATAGGAAGGTGTCCATCACCATCTGCTCACATACCCGATGTCCCCATACTTAACAGTTTGCCCTTTCGTTTCTCACATACTTCATGCCATCTTTCTCCCGCTACTCAGCCCTGAGTCAACCTCCTAATCCAGTACTTCCTTTCAAACATTCCCTATGTCTCCCTTCACTCAACCGAACTCCACTTTCTAGGGTGGGAAGGCCGGGCGCGAAACAAGATAGGAGGGGGACTAAGGGGGGAGTCTAAGTAGCCTCCCTTCGCTCAGACCGGCCAAAGCCCGCCAAAGTCCAATGGCCCCAAACTGACGGGCCTTTAAGACTACGTATTTTGACTGACCCAAGGTACTGAGGGTGCCAGAAACCCGTTTGAATTCAACTGCGTCTGATTTGATTCATCAGCGCAGCCCACTCAACGCCGTCCTTAGTGGAACATATTGACGAGATAGTCAATCTTGTTTATTTGATTTACCTACATGTATTTAATTCAGTTGCATTGCACAGCCAACGTTACTGATGTTCGTTTGACGGGAGCGGAAATTAATTATTTATGGCTAGTAATATAGGTGGCAAGCAAATTGTTGCAAAATTTTGGTGGGGATATGGCATGATTTCTTAACCAGACTTGGGCAGATTACGCGCTGGAAAGTGCTGATTAGAATGGTGTGGGAATTGCTCGCATTGGCAAGTGAGAAAAGGTATTTGTGTTTTCGGACATCTGCCTTTGGCATCGCTTTCTTACTGTGTTCCACACATGTCCATACAGTTTCTGGTAGCGCTTTGAGCAACGGCATCTGCGTGATTCCTGGTAACAGCCACCGTTTCTCTGTGCGGATTACTTTCGGTTAAAGTGGATGGTGAATACCCACCAAGAACGCGCTTTTCAATGCGAGAACGCCATTTTTGTATGAACGCAAAATCAAATAGAATGAAGTGGACTATTTTCGAGAATGGTTCACACCAAGCAGGTGTTTGCAGCACTTGGCCGACACCTCAAGGTAGCCAGGACAGCCTTTCCACACATGTACGCTAACTTGAGCCAGTGAGCCGAAACAAGCTTCCTGCATCCTAAGGTCCTGTGCCTTGTGGTAGCTCAACTGCGTGGAGGCAACGCGTTAGCAAGTGCTGCAAACCTTCCAGTGTCAACTCTGGCAACTCCTGGCAGAAAATACTGAAAAGACAGTTTTGACAAGAGCATCCTGGCCGAAACCGTCCATACCCAAGTGGCATCAGAGTCCATCAACATATGGATGGCAGCTGGAAAGGTCCCAAAGTTTAGGAGTGGCCCACTTCTTGACTTTGGGGCTGCATGGGATTGGAATGGGATAGGAGTGGGCTGGGTGGGCTGGGGCAGGGATGTCCGACCTAGGTAGCACAGGCTGGAAGGAAGGGGGCTGAGGTGTGGACATCGCAGTGTTTCAGTCGTTTCGAGATCATTTCGTCTGCAGGGCTGTGACCTGCTCTGAGGAGGAAAGCATTGCTGGTGGCCATGGAATTATTTATTGTTGGCTTCTCTGCTGCGATGTGAGCAGCTGAAGGAAGCCAACCTTGATGGCACTGGGGGTGAGCTTGAGTGGTCCTGGAGCATTTCGGACTCTTGTCTCTTCTGAATGCGTGCATTTTAGAAAAACAGGGGAAGTTTTTTTCGCCTAACATTTTGCACAGTGGCTTCTAAGTGTCCATCGACCTTGGCTCTAGGATGCTGCACAAATAACATATTGTTGCTGCAGGTTTTCGATCCAGCAGACGTTGGCAAAGCAAGAAATTGTTGGTAGTTTGAGAACTGGTCAACTCTGGATACCTTGTATTCAAGACGTAACAATATCCAAACTCACACCATACAATTCAACATATCTACAGTGCAGCCTGGTTGTTGGCAAATGCAAGCAGCTAAACACAGTGCACACTGAGTGGGCATATCTGATTGCTTTAACTGCACTGCAGCCATACATGTACGCCTTTCTGCGACTTAAACTGCAGGTAATGCTACAAAGAATTGTTAAATAATGGTGCTTGAAGATGAGGCAAAAGAACAGAATGTAAAACAATATACGCCCTGCAATCCCCAAAAGCGCGTGAGTTATTCATGGCCTAATCAAATGCACAAAACTTGCCCTGCAAAGAGTAGCATGCACCCTGGCAGTGCCATTCTCCTCAGATTGTGGACATTTCACTGCCACGGGCGGTCACTTTGGCTTGGGCGCCCTGTCCCGCGCCTCTCCACCTCCTGCCTCAACCTGACCTCGTCCACCTGAGCCTGGCCCCTCGTCCACTGGGGTGCTCAAACGGCTCTGTCAGGGCCAGCCCCCGTTGCATGGCTACTCTCGATGCTATTCCCATTTCCGATCATACCACGCTCACCACCCTCACTCGCCTTGACCTTAGACTGCCACTTCCCCTGGTGCTTAAAAAAGCGATCCCCACTATTGACATGCCATACCCGATCACCTGGCCCCTAAAGAGCCTATCTCCCACCCCATCCCCAAAACCATCACTGTCGCATTCCTGGCTATCGAAGCCACCTTGAAGCTCAGCAAAGAAGCCCATCAGCTGCACCAAGAAGCTGATGCCATTGGTCGCCAGGTACAGCAGCGGCCGCGACGCCATGAGGCTAAACTCCCTTCCCCACAATCCATTCCAATCCCTCAAATGCGTTCCAACAGGGGCATCGCCGCTGGTCCCTTCCCCAAGAAACCAGCAGCTCTGCGATTTTGAGGATCTTGGCCCCCAAAGAATACCGCTCCCACGGCGATTAATCTGACCGACAGTCCCAGCTCCCATGACAGGATCTCGAGCCTGGCAGCCAGGATCACTAGCAGCGCGATCGCCGGCACCAACGACTCTGGCATCTGGACGAACGCCACGGGCAAGAAGGCGTAGGACAGGACGCCCATATACAACCGGCCCATTGCTCGCAGCCAGCAGCGCAATCTTTTTGATCACAAATTTCGCCACCCACACCGGCGGGAGAGCACACAGGTGGGAGAGCGCCAGCCCACCCGCGATGTAGGCCAGCCGGTTGAGGCCGGTCAGGATGACGGGAAATGCGAAGCCATCGTTTGGGCGGCCTTGTTGAGGAGGATCATCGCGTTCACGGCGGCCATCCAGGAGAGCGCGGCCGCCACACCGCACCCCAGACGGGCGTGGGTGACCCGTGGGGAGGGCGGGGGAATCTTGGGCTGGCGGTGTGGCCGGGGGGGCTTCGAACTCCGGGGGTGCCTTGGGGCCTATCTTTGGGACCGCCGCCGCCGCCTACCCCACCTCGACTGCCGCTGCCTCCTCCACCGCCTCGACCACCGGGGCCGCCAGGGGGCCTACCACCCCCGCCGCCGCCCCCGCCTTGACTGCCGACACTGGCGACACGGCCAGGGGTGCCTGAGGGAGTGCCATGATGACCTCGTACCGCGAAGGGCAGGTCTCCAGCCGGTGGCAAACCAGGACCCGGCACACGGTCGACCGGCGGCATACCAGGCCCGGTACCCCGCCACCTCCTCGGCCGCCTCCCCCACCAGGGGGTGCCTTTTGGCACGCCACCGCCTCGGTCGTTGGGGGAGGAGCTAAGGCCCTGTCCACGGTACACCCCTGGCGGCAGCCTACCCGGCCCCCGGTAGGCTACCGGCCGGTGACATACCGGGTCCCGGTACGCCGTCGCCCGGCGGCGAACCAGCGCCGGGTCGCACCCGGCGCCCCGCCCGCCTCCGCTGGGCCGCCTCGACGCCGGGTTGTGGACAGCTCTCGCCTACCCACACATGCAACCACCACTCCCCGCCGCCAAGGTCCTCACCCCACCAATCCATATTCACCAACCGATCTCGACCTCGCCTGCAGGTCCAGAGGCGCTGCGGGAGTGCGCCCGGAATATTGGGGTGAGCCACGGTGTCAAACACGGCCAAACATCCAAACACGGTGTGGAGACCTCCATGGGTTGTGGCATAAAGACAGGAACTCGCCAGCAAGAGAGGGAGTTGATCGCCCCTCGCCCTGCCGAACGGCTGCGTTGTGGGCCACAACAACCACAACTTGGGGGGAAAAGGGGCACGCAGGCCGTCCCAAAACTGTCGCGATGTGGCACCCGGATCGGCAGCCCCGTTCAAGTAACTTGAGGGTCGGCTAACTAATCCTCCAGTTGGCAGTTCGGCCATTTCAGCTCGGGCCTAAGCCATTTCCGTGGGGTGGGGGGCGCTGAATAGAACCCCCTTGTCCGGCCTCTTGGTCGTTGGGTTCGACCATCGGTCGCTTCGGCTGATGCATTGTGACAATCTGGGCTACCCGGTTTCAGCCTTTTCGGCAAGGCTGGGGAAGTCCAGCGCACCCACTCTCGTGTTTCGACCCGTTTGGCAGGGATGCTGCCCCACAGTTTGGGCTGCTTCGGCTCGAGATTCTACTGCGCCAGTTGAAGCTCGATGCCAAACCGCCGCTGCACCAACACGGCCATAACACTCGAACGCTCCCAACGCTCCCATTTTGGCCTTAGGGCTTCGTTGACTGGACGCCAACGCCGCCAACGGCACTGGAAGCAGAGGGACTGCA